AAATAATCTAAACTGCAGGCACCAGGATAATAAAAGCGAACATATTCTGCCGGCAGATTTCTGCATTTTAAGTTAATTTATGTGTTAATAAACTGTTTCAGAGGAGTGATCACAGCGCTCTGATCATCAGCGATGTGTCTGTCTCTCTGCCAGCTCCCAGATCAGCTTTTCTGATTGGTTGACGCAGCAAGCAGCAAAAGTTAAATTTTTCCATCTTGAGCAGCAGCGCGTTTGCGGCACGTCACGCACGTCAGATGCTTAAGCGCGCCCGACGCGCTGCTCAGACGCGCTGCTCAGACGCGCTGCGCCTGCTGCTCAAAACGCACTGCGGGACATTTTGCTGCGCCTTGACGCACGTCAACCATTGACCTGCATGTGAAGTCGCTGCTTCTGTCGTGCCTGCTGCGTCCGGTGTGAGCGCAGCATAAGGAGGACCGGGCACCACCTGGTGGTGGAGAGAGAAAAACACACAAACAACCCACATAAACTGGATTCATAACAGTACCCCCCCTCAAAAACCGCCACACGGTGGTCCAGCAGAGCTGGAGGGCTGGCACGAACGAAAGTCTCTAATTAAAAATGGTGATGAAAAATGATCTAAAATAAAAAATCGATGGACCTAAGAATGGTCCTCAGGATCATAACCCTCCCAGTCGATAAGGTATTGCCAACCTCATCTGCGGCGGTGGGCATCCACAATCCTGCGCACCGTGTAGGCATGGTGGCTGTCAACATCATAGGGGAGAGGGGGTTCAGCGGGTGGGCACAAAGGGCTGGAATGGAAGGGCTTGAGTTTTGAATCTTGGAAAGTAAGATGGATCCTGAGAGTGGAGGGGAGACAAAGGTGGACAGCAGATGGGCCGATGATAGTCTTCACCTAGTAAGGGCCAATGAAGCGGGGAGACAACTTCTTGGACATGGCCTTGAGGGGAATGTCTCTAGTGGACAGCCAAACCCTTTGGCCAGGGGTGAACGTAGGTGCCACCCGCCTCCTGCGATCAAACCATCGACGGTTTTGTTCAGAAGTGCGTGCGAGAGCCGCTGCTGTCCTGCTCCAGACTGCTTTGCAGCGGCGAATATGATGCTCAACAGAAAGGACGGCAATTTCTGCCTCCTCAGCAGGAAAAAGGGGAGGCTGATACCCCAATGAGACTTCAAAAGGGGACAGACCTGTGGCAGAAGAGGTGTGTGAATTATGGGAATACTCAACCCAGGGAAGATACTGGCTCCAATTGGTGGGGTTAGTTGCAGTCAGGCATCTGAGGGTGCCTTCCAACTCCTGGTTCATGCACTCGACCTGTCCGTTTGACTGTGGATGATAGACAGAGTTGAGAGAGACCTTGGCCCCGAGGGCCGAACAAAAACTTCTCCAAACCTGAGGTATAAACTGAGGTCCTCAGTCCAATAGGAGGTCTTGGGGAATCCCATGTAGGCGGAACGCATGTTTGCCTGCTCTGTGTTTCTGGACTGTT